TATATATATTCTTGATCAGCATCAATGGCCGGGTCGATCTAGCCATGTCCGTCGGTCTGTCCGTATGTATGAACGCAAGGATCTCAAAACGAATAAGAATGCAGGTTCTCCTAGTGCCCGCGTAGTACGAGTTTGTGTCCGATACTCGATAACTTGTCCAGTTTGAACAAATTTTTAGGTTTTAAGAGAGAGAGAGAGCTACCAAACCTGACATGTAGCTTCTAAAATGGCATATATGTATTAAGAATTTTTATTTTAAAGCTATCGCCACCACCCCGCTCTCACCACATAGCTATAAATCAAGTAAAATCCCTCATTTGTGTTGCCCACCAATTCAAAGCACAATGTTATTGCTATTGAATATTCTACAGTATAATAAGATCTTCTAGTAAGTAATTAAAGAAAATCACTTTTCGCTGGCCACGAGATTGTGACAGAATTTCTGTATTCTATCAACAGCATTGCGATTGCTATTCTATTATTTTCTGTCTTGCTATTTAAAATTTTTTTTTTTCATTGAGACTCAATTATTGGTGTGGCTGTTGAGTAAAGGCGCAGATCGAGTTTGTTTCCGATAATCGATAACTTACTAAATTTCCAAGCAATCGATAAAAAACGATATCGACATCCTGTTTTTTAGCAAATTGGGTAAATAACAAGAGCCAGAGCCACCAAACATGATTTGTTGCTTCTAGAATATTATATATATTTCAAGTATCTTTCATTTCATACCTATCGCCACCTCCCCGCTACCAGCAAGTGGTGCGGTCGGTCGCGAGTTCGAGCCCTGCCAAGGGAACTTTTTTTTATAAATTTATTTGGTGTTGGAATAAGAGGGTTCAGGGTATCCCCTAGTCGGGAGCTCCCGACTAGAGCCTCTTACTTCTTTTTTTTGTGTATGGCATTAATTGATTTGAATTCGAATTTTTATTTTCTAGAATTTAATTACGCAATTGATTAAATGTAAAAAAATTTATTCTTTAAGTGAAGGTTTTTTATATTAAAATACGAGCTGGAGCCAGTTTATATATAGACACACATAATAAAATTAAATAAATATGGAAAATATACCAATAAATTGGGACCAATTTGATGGGGTAAAAATAAAAATAAATTGATATTTTTGTGGGGGCCAATAATTCTCTATAGATCCTAACAGAGAATAAAAATTATAGAAAGCCGTGACTTATGCGGAATTTCTTCACGGTTAACCCCATTTTTGTCTGCGCTCTCTATTTTGTTTTATTTTCTATGGAAATGATTTTTTTATCGCTTTTCAGCGCAATTTCACAATTTATGAGCCACATTCCACCGTTGATTCATTAATTAATAATCACAAAGCGGCTAATGGGCATAGATTGGGGGCTGGTGGACCGACAGGTGGATCGCCCAGACCGCGGGACTGGTAGACAGTTAATCAGGAACCGCAGTCCACAGGCCAGATATCTAGCTGTATAGCGGGGTGAAGAGGGGTGTTCGTATTTAATGTAGCTTTGGCATTTGTTTGGGGGCAGCTTATTAATCTATAAGCTATCTGGTAAGTCTTTTATGTACATGAAATGAATGAAGGCCACCCCACCGCCACAGCCAGATGCTAGCCACATTCGTAGCTACTAAACTTTGAACCAAAAGCAAAACCAAAATCAAAGTCAATAACCAATGCCATCGATAGCACCATAAATGTCCATATACAGACCTTATGGCCACCCCAGCACATACATGCATGTATGTGGCAAAGGTGTGAGTAGTAGCGGGCGGGTTATGTGCAGGCCTAACTTGACCCGCCCCGCCTACACGGCGTATGAGTTAAATGCGAAATGCGTGCGTATGCCGGGATCAAATGCATTCCCTGTTTAGTTTGCAGGCCATATGTATGCCTGACCATGTATGGGTGTGCATGTAGAGGCCACGCACACACACATATATATACTCATGCATATGCAGTTCACAGCAAGGGGCAGTGTTTTGGGCCCAACAATTTTTCTCCGCTTTTTTGATGCGTTTCCGCGCATTTGTGCGTACATGCATGGCTAAATACTGGGTATATTATATACATAAAGGGATATATATATATATATATGCGTATGTATGTAATTGTGTGTTTTGGATATGGGCAAAATTGAAGCTACTGTAGCTTTGATTTAGTTGTTCTTGTTGCCAGCGTTCCACTTTTTTGTGCTGATGTATTTTCTTGCTGCAGTTTTCAAATTGTGTTGGCAAAACTGGCTTTGCGTTTACCCATACTAATACCAAAATGGAGGAAAAAAAGCGCGCAATAAGGAAAAGTGTTGCATACGCGGAGGGGTAATACGCAAAGGTTTTAACACTTTTGCTACGTTTTGCCCCTTTTTGTTGTTGTTGTTGTGATGGAAAATGAAAACGAAAGAATTGCAATTGCCGTGCATGTGTGAGCGTGCGAGAGAAAAAAAGAACACAAGCACAAAACAAAACACAGACTATGCGGGGATTGAGATTGAAGTTTGGGTTGCCAGATGGTGGTGGGATGCGGGTTGGCGCTGCCTCTGGCGGGGCAATCGAATTGAGCGCGAAATGGCGGCAGCAACAATGCACAACTAGGAGCAACAGCGCTCCCCAAAACCACACATGTGCATGTATGTACGTGTGTGTGCGTGTGCAAAGTGGGTGGGTTGGTTGTGGGCGGCTCCTGCTGCGGGCGAGTCAAACGGATGAATGTTTTAGTTATGTTTTAGGCCCGACTGCGGCGTTTTCAGCTGCCTATATGCAGCTACGTTGCGGACAGCACTGTCCACGCCGTCCTCCTCCCCAACCACTAGCGAAAAACTATTCGTGTGCTGCATTTCGTGTTGCATACTTTTTGGCGCTATTTGATTTTTAGGCGCAGCAAACACAAAATGCGTTCGCCGCTTGATTGGGATAGCTGTATGTGTGAGGTATGTGCATGTCTCTGCCTACATCTGTGTATATATGTGTTCGTGTGTGTGTGTGTGTGTGTTTTCGCTGCTTCTGCTGCCATCGTTGTCGCTGCCGTCGTTGCGCTTTGTTTTGATTTTTCGCGACTGAGCGCGCGTTCCCTGTCCATGTCACTTTGCTGTCCCTATGTGTGCTTTGGATTTGTCCAACAATGTGCATATGTGCGCCTCAGATGTATGAGTGTGCGTCTGTGTGTGTGTGTGTACCACTGCACATGTATGTATGTACATTAACAACGCGACGCCGCCGCCGCTGCCGTCGCAGCAACAATTTTTTTTTTGCGCCAAGCACCAAAACCAAAAACGACGAGGACAATTGGCTGCGCGCTGGCGTTGAATTTTTTCTCGCTTTTCGCGCCCGCCACATCAACGCGCACGGCCAGCGGCCAGTTTCATCAAGCCAACCTTGGGTAGAAGGGAGTTGCGGTGCAGTGCGGTGACTGAGGTGAAACTTTACAATCATATAGCGCTGCAGCGACGTCATCGAAGGCAGCGACAGCGACGCCAGCTATCACGACCGCCGGTCTGACAACGACGCTGGCCATCAACGTTAACAATTTTTGCACAACATTGCAACAGAAATCTGCTAAACGCGAAACAAGTTGCGGCGTTTTTTCTGCTACTCGGGTCCTGTCCACGCTGCTGGCTTAGTACGCAGGCAGGCAAGCAGCCAGTCAGACAGACAGACAGGCAGGCAGGCAGACAGGCAAGCAAATATCTAGGCAGTGCCAGGCAGGCAGTCGGCAGGCAGGTCGACAGTTCAGTCCGCAGTCTTCGCAGCGCATAAATCACAGTCTCACAGCCAGGCCGAGACAACGCACAGACTCAAACTCAACTCGAACTCAACTCGAACTCGAACGCAACGCATCGGCAAGAAAGTGAAATACCAAAAGAAAAACATCGCAGTGAGGGTGCGTGTGCGTGTGCGTGTGTGCATCTGTGAATGTGTGTGCTTGGCAAAAAAAGTGAAAGTGCGCAAAAATGACTTGAAGTGCAAGAGTACAGAGCCAACCAAAATATATAAACCAATACAACCGCCCACACGTACAAGGCTCCAAATCGTGGCATCGTCTTTTTTCTTCAGGTGGGCTGCTCATATATGTGCTTCGAAATGCCACCGCTTGCCATGAAGGCTCAACATCCAGCTGGCCCAAGGCGCATCACTTGGTTGCAGGTGTTGCAGGCGCCGTTCCTGAGCGCCGCAACGCCATCTTGAATGCCAGTGAACGCCCAACGCCCAATACTGCCATCCATGCACAGGCCAAAGACAATGTAAACGCCGGCGTTTAGCATGTAGGCAGTTTTTTCTTCATTTCCAAAAACAACCAAAACTACAAACCAGCCAGCCAACAACAAATAATCAAATAGACAAAGTTACATTTTTACCAATACGATAAGCAGCAGCAGCAACATCAACAACAACACGCATCGCATTTTGTTCGTCAACAACAGCAAAGCAAACAACAAGCCAACATAAGGATTCAATATCAAGAAAAAATAATTAGTAGCTTATACTAACTACTAAATATACATATATACTAAGCAGGCAGTCAGTCAGTCAGTCAGAAGTAACTTCCAGTTTCAGTTCCGCACAGATTCCGATTTGAAGCAAAATTCAAGCGTCTGAATTTGATCTCGTCTCGAGTTGAGTTTTCCAAGTTTCGGTCCAACAAATTTTGTCTCGGTCCATATCTAACGGCAAATTTTAGTTTTCTTCAAATTCAGACGTAACTCTTTAGTTAATTAACCAATTTAATGGTGCATTTTGGCGTCGAACATTTGGGCGAATAAGTAAAATAAAAACAAATTACTAAAAACAAAAACAACAAATTTGAAGAGAAATTCAAATCAAAATCTACGAAATTACCTGAAAATTTTTGAAACAACTGAAAAGTCTACGAGAGCAGCACGGAAGCACGAATCAGAAAATTATAAGCAAAATTTTACATGTGCAAAAACGCATTATAATTATTTACAACAAAAAAACGCGAAAAAATTATAGAGGAAATTGAAAATAAAAAAAAAAAACTGAAAATCGTTTAGTAAAATTTTAGGAACACAAAAAAATTAAAACAAATTAATACCAAAAATTGTTGTGATGTGATATTTTTTCGATATATTTTTATTGTTCTGGTAAGTGAAGTAGTCATAAAAGTATTTTATTTTTAAAATATAAACATATTTGATGATAAGTAATTGAAAAATAAATTATTTTTATTGCATTTGAAAAATAATTTATAAATTATATTAAATTAAATTAAATTATATTATATTTAATGCATTTTCGAGAAGAAAATTATAAAATCTATAAGCAAAGCGCACTCTTAATGCTCTATTCAATAAACATAATAGAAATTGTTATATTCTTTTGGCCATCATTTTTTTTACTCTGCCATAATAGCTGATCCTTAGATAGTTTTATGTTTATTTTATATATTTAAAACAAAAGTTTTAATGTTGAATATTTTAAAAAAATCATAGTAAGCTGCAATCAAGTTTCTAATAGGACATGAAAAATAGGAAAAAATATATGAAGAATAATATATATGTTTTTATTATATATTTTTTGTTCATTTCAAGGTTCCCCAAAATTAATTTTATTATTTATATATAAAATATAAGAAAAATAAAAATATATTTCTTACACCTTAGAATGTCATCAGCTAAGTATATTGCATAAATAATTTAGAATTTTTTACTTCCACCAAATTATCTTAATAAATATATTAAACTTAAGGAGTTCAATCGAAAATGTATGCGCAAACGATCGTATGAGTTGGCCATGATCATTTGTTTCGTCTGCAGACGCCTTCCCCCATTCTATCAACCCAATAGACTCGTGTTCCTTGTCGTTCTCAGAGTTGACTCGTCGGCGTCGCCGGTGGCGGCGCTCAGCTACAGCAGCAACACACGGCAGCAACTTGCAGCATGCAGAAGTATGCTGCTGGTTGTATGTGCATACAACTCGGGTCTCCCGAGCTGAAGGTTTAGTTGTAGTAGTAGACTTTTTGCTTTTCTACACTCACAAATGCACATGCAGCACACAGATGCAATCGGCGACGCCAAGTTTGGGGCATACGGCACATAATGTAAACAAGGGCATGCGCAGTGCAACGCTGACAGCGGCATTTGCGCTTCCCCAACTGGAGAAATGTTGCAATGCATGGCAATGCAACTAGAAGATAGTAGCCCAGAAGGGGAGGGTGCACTAGGTGGGAGGGGGACGCTATGCATTTACCCAACTGCTGCTGTTGCTGCTGCATGTGGAGTACATGACAGCGATGCTGGCGTCGCTGCCAACGTCAACTTGCCACAATTTAGATGGCCAAAAAGGAGCTGCAACAAGCCAAGCTCATGTGCGTATGCCAGAGAATGCTAAAGAGAGAGCCAAACACAGCGAAAGAGGGAGTGAGAGAAAGAGAAAGCGAGCGAGAGAGTGTGTGTGAGAGAGAGAGAAAGCAAGAGTTGTCTGCGACTGCAGGCCGCAGTCCTCCCAAAAGCATGCAACGCAAATGCACTTGAAGTGCGAGGCAGCAGCGGCGCCTGCATGCAGGAGGAAGCAGACACACACAAGTAGTCGTTGCTTCTTTTTTTATGTTTTGTTGTCTCTTTTCGGCATATTTTTAGAAGTTATGCCTACCCCAGCTCCAAACTGTTTATTTACTTAACCAGACTCGTAACTTTTACATGGAAGCTACGCCGGACCAGCAGCAGCAGGAGCAGCTGTTCGTGGAGCCTCAGCACGTGCAGCAAGCAACTGACCAAAAGGCAGGCAGCTCAGCGCACACACACGCACATGCACACCCCCCAGCCAGGAGTTGGTGCATTGCAATTCTGCAGCGATGATGACCATGATGATGATGAGCAGAAGCCTGTCTGGCCCCCAATGGGTGGCAGTTGGGCTGCCCACACGCACCGATAGCAGCTGCACTTCTTTATCATAGTCGTTGTCGTCGTCGTGAACGTGGCTGCGTGGTTGGTCGGCTCAGTGGGCAGCTGGCTGGTTTGGCTGTGTGTGGGTGTGGGGCTTAAGTGGGTTGTGAGCCACCATTCAACGGAAGTGTGGTCGCGTAGACATTGCGTAGTCAGCGCCAAGTTTTTTCTATTTCTTGATGCGCAGTTTTTGGAATTTTCGTTTTTTTTTTTTGGGAAGGGAGGTCCACCCAGCCGTTCGATGTGCGTTCAATGCAGCGACGCTGTGCAGTATATAGACGATTTATATAGAGCGAGCTGTGCTCCCCACCTCTGTGTGAGTGTGTGTACTTGCTCGCGCGCGAGCTTTGACCAAGGCAAAAAACTTATCACAGATACTTTTTACATAGGACTTGCATAAATAGGGGATTGGGGGGAGCCTGAGAACCATTGCCCCGCACTGCATTTTGCGCGTCTGTTGGCCGTTTTTGTATTTTGGCGGTCGCTCTAACAGGGGCTAGCATGGAAGGCGGGTGGTGGCAACCATGTACGCGTCGTGCTCGTCCGTGTTATGTTTTGTGCCGTGTTGTATCGTTGGTTGCTGGTAACAGGCTGCCGTTAGCTGGTCGCTAGTTGATGGAACGCCGAACGCATCGCAGATCAGATCGGCATCGGACGCGCGGGTAGTTGGCATACGGCTTTTGGACGTCTTTTGAGTGCCAACATTGCTTTTTTATATTCTCGGCTCGACGCACCGAGCAAAAGGACGCAGAACGCACGCACGCAGTTCCCGAGTGGCAAAACGGTAAACGGGCAACGTCAACGCCGTCGAGAAGTCCTGGCAGAGACAGAGCTGGTCCAAGTCGTCGACGGTTCGGTTCATTTTCGGACTTGCTTATTTTCTAAAATGCTTATACACTCTCGCATTCGCATATAAAAACCCATATTATTATATATATAATATATATATATATATATATATATTGTATATATATTGTATGTATATATATTATATGGACGCAAAGTGCGCGCGCGTTTACCGCCCCCGAAGCTACCTTCGTATCGGTTGCCGTTGCCTGCATTGGGTTTCGAATGGCATTAAATATTATTCATATACAATAAATGAAATAAAATAATATATATATATATATATATATATGCATTTATATATATATATATATATATATATCTATATATATCAAATATCGCCGAAGCCTGCGCGAGTGTGAGTGCGTGTGATTTACAATAACAACACGAAATTCTAAACGCTTAGAATGAAGCAGCGCATGCAAATATAAAATGAATATTCACATTCTCAAATTAATTTTTAAAATTTATTGCCGCCTAATGGAAATAAAATTAAATTAAAAAATAAATAAAATAGTCCGCGTCACAACAACAGACATTTAATTGATAAAAAAAAAAAAACAAACAAAAAATTGTTCACGATAAATATTTAAGCCGTAATTCCAACAAGTCCAAACAAGTTTTTTAAGAAGCCAACAATTTTTTCAAGGCGACTTTCACCTATAATTTTCAACGTCTGCGTCGTCGTCTGATCACCGTTTATGTTAAATATTTCAAATGGCTGCCTCAAAATCAAAATCAAAAACTAAACTAAACTCAACATTCAAATATAAATCCCAAGTCGGTTTGAATTAGTTCTGAATACACACAACCAAGAAATAAAGACCAAAGCCAAATATCATCATTTCTTTGGCGTTCTCATGTACGCATACAAATTGAGGCTGCTGCAATTCGACAGATACTTTGACACATTCCAATTGCAAGAGCCACCAAGTTGGGATCCCTCGGATCGTTCGCATCGCATTTCGTTAACGGCGACGGCGACGCAGACAAAAATGCCAAATTTGGCAGCGCGCTGCGCCCCGCACTCAACGAACTGCCACTTCAGACAACCAGCATTAGCTGTGGACACGAGAGAAAACCTCAGCATTGCCATGGATAAATAACATCAGTAAATTGTCCTGTAGGTGATCGCAAAAAAAAATAACAAGAAAACCTACATTTTTAAGAACCTTACACCCAAGTTTTAGGATGTTTGCGATTGAAGTCCAATTCTAAACATGCTTTTTACTATGGTCCCTTTAGCTGTTTCACGCTCGTAACCGTTACGCTTTTTATTTAATTTATTTATGCATATATTTTATTAATATATATATATATATTTTTTTTTAATTATAATTTTACTCTTCTTTTGCATATTTGAAAATAGTTTTATAAATAATTTTCGTTTGTATCAAAATGTATTTTTTTGTTTGTTTTTTTTTTTTTCAGACAAAAACTCAATTCAATCTTAAAAATAAATATTATTATAAATGTATATTCGTTTTATTCATTATCTATTTACAAATTTCTTTTATCTGTATATTTTAACATAATTATTTTCTTATAAATCCAAAAACTACTTGTTAGCTTCCTTTCTTTGCAAATCCAAGCACGTGCTCGTTACCCTTTATATGCAAAAGTAAAAAAAAGGAATGTGAAATGAAAAGGAAACACACAAAGACAACCCCACACACAAACACACGTATCTAAAAAAATACAATTTGTATTTAAGCATAGAAATATATTAAGGTTGAATTTGAGAGTTTCTCCAACGCAATATTCGCCGCGAGTTCCTTAGCTGCCGTCGGCAAAAAGTCAAAGACAGTATAAAAACACTCACACACAGATTGAGTAGTATCTAGAAAAGGTATTTTAACTAATACAGCCACATATAAGGGAATCTGCGTCCTTTCGGCATATTTTATCTTAAGAAGCGAAGCGCATTAAGGCTGCTGCCAAAATATTTCTGCCATTTGCAGGGGTTGCTTAAGCGGCCTCCCACAGAACACGCATCCACAGACACCCACACACACACACACGTATCGCTCATACTCCATTTTGTTCTATTGCCCCAACGCGCAGTCGCTGTCGACGTCTCAGCTGGCGTCACTGTCGCTGCCGCTGCTGCTGCTGGCGCTGCTGGCTGCCCCTCCATGTATTTGAATTGCGCACTAACTCTAGCTCAAAGAGAGAGTTTTTGTGCTACACCCCCCCTTTCCCCTCCCACTCATACCCTAATGTGTATGTGTATCCTGTTTTTGCATTTATTTTATTGCCCGTGGGGGAGACAGCGCTGTCAACGATTTTATTTGCAAAAAGGCACCCGAAGGGGGGTAACGCTTGCGTTTTGTGTTTGCTGTTGCCTCTGCTGC